TTGAGTGTTGGACTATGACTCTGGAGACTAGGGTTTGATTCCCAGTTCGACCATAGCAACCCACTAAGTGACCTTGGGCAAGTCACACACTCTCAGCCTCAGGGGAAGGCAGTGACGAACCTCCTCTGAGCAAACCTTACCAAGAAAACCCCATGATAAGTTGGCCTTAGGGTTGCCATAAATCGGAAACCACTTGAAGGCACACAACACACAAACACACACACAGCCCTTTGCTCTTTTCTCCACAAAAGGAATAGCACTGAGGAGAATTTCGGGGGAATTTTGGAGATTGTTCAAAATCCTGAGATGTTCCATCAAACTTCTTTTAGTGTATGTGGGAATTTATTATATATATATTGGGCTAGTGGTGGGAAAACAACTTCCCATGCCAGACGTATGTGTTGCATGAGTACCATTAACTATTAACACTCTTTCTATGGGTTTCTGAGGCAAATCCTTTTCCCGCCTTTTGGGGCTGGCAGTTCAATAAAGAAACACTGAGTTGTCACTGAGACGGCAGGGTTTTCACTCTGTGGGAAATTTCTCTTAGAAGAAATTCAGTGAGGATAAAAGAAAATATCCTTTACAAAAGGAGAATCTGTCTCAGGAAGTAAGAATTACAGAAAGCAGCTTAATTCTACTAGCTTCTATATCTGGTTTTCTATTTCGGTTAATGATGTGTGCGTAACTACACAGTAATACCAGGGGTAGGCAACCTTTCCCCTTTAAGGGCCGAGGGACTTCAGCTCCCAGAATCCCAGGAGCTATTGGCCAACATGGGACTATTGGCCAACATGGCTGAGGCTTCTGGGAAATGAAGTCCCTCGGCCTTTAAAGGGGAAAGGTTGCCTACCCCTGGTAATACAGACACAAAGTGATTACAGATGGAGACCATTACCAAATTAAAAAGTGTTTGGCAGCTATTCTGTCTTTTCCTCCTTAACAGATTTTTAAAAAATATTAGACCCCATTCACACTACGTAATAAACCGGTTTTCAAACCGGCGTACACTGGTTTAAAGGGCCCTTGTTTGCACTTGCACCAATTTTTTGGCATGGTTTTGCCAGGGGCGGGCAGCGCCAAACCCATTTAAACCGGTTCTTCCAAATCCGAGGCATTCCCCGCATCTTTTTCAATGAATCAATTCAGCGCAAGTGTGAACACATTATCAACTAGATTCGGTTCCCTGTGGCACGGTCAAACCTATGACGCAACTCCATTTTGAATCGATCCTATTGAATGTGAACACAAAGTGGATTAAACTGAAAC